TGTGTGTGTGTGTGTGACTGACTGTGGAAATGAACAGAATAATGAGCGAGGAGCGACAGTTAAGGGAAGGAGAAGGAGAGTTCATCAGGGGGATTGATTGGACAGGCTATTGTAGTGTATATATTTTTGAATAATTCAAAAGACAATGATGGAAATGTGATGTTGTGCGTTTTGCTCTGTACGCCCTGTGAGAGAAAGTGACCTGGAGATGAGAAGTTTAATAAAAGCTGCAGGAGAAAGCGAGAGAAATCGTCTTAATGGGAAATGTGTAAATTGGCCTTATTTAAAAAAAATATTAATACTAAAGATATCAGAGTTAAGTTATAGTTCAAGTAGATATCTCCCACCTTATACCACCTGATATTGGGTCCATTGGTGCTTTTATTTTTAAAAACTAGGACTATTTAGTTGCTGTCTCCATAATTTGACAAGTCTTGAATGCTGGTGCACCTGATTTTTATTCTATTTATATTTTTTTACCCATGTTTCTTTGTGCACATGGAAAAATAAAAAATAAAAAAATAAAGAGGTTAGCTGGGCATGAAACCTGTCAACTTTGCAGCCATCTGAGTCATGCCAACTGTGTGTGACATGTGTCAAAATGAATGTGATTCTGTGTCAAATCTGCTTTGACACAGTGAAAAGTTTGGGTTTTTTTTAGGAGGGGTGGAAAAGGGAAAATGCTCTCCACCTCTGTGTGTCTTTGTTTCACACACAGAGACAGACATAGAGACAGAAAGATAGATCCACCAGAGCGGACTTAGTTTTGGAGCACTAACTTTATTTCACCACGACATCTGTCATAAACCTCCGCCGCTCCTAAAACAAAGATTCAATCAGAGCTTTAACAACGTGTCAAATCAAAAAGTCTCTCTCTCTCTCTTCCTCCTTCCTCCTCTCTTTCTGTGTCTCTCGCTCTCTTTTTTTTTACAGCCAGTAACAGCCATGCACGTACACATGGGGAGACAGACATGTACATACAGCACGGATGCTACCCGGACTATTAAACTCCAAGCTGCCCGACACGCCACTCTCTCCAAACTAGGCGCACAGGCATGAGCGGCCGGTTTCAAGCTGCCCTCTCTGTGAATTGATTCTACTATGAGCCTACACGAATCTCTGCTCTCAGCGGCGGGGGTGAACGCCGGAAAACGGCGGGCTCACTCCGGGTACAAACCCCGCCAAAGTGTCGCACAAGTAGACCCACGTTGCTTAAAACAAGGGTGTGATTGTGTTTATTTCGCCGCGGCGGCGAGGCGACTCGTTTTTTGGGACGATTCGTGGTATCTCCCAGACTGCGCCACCCCCGCGCCGCCACATGGAACATTCCACAATTTATTCCAGGGAAAGACTGACAGTTTTTTGGGTCATGAAGCAGCTGTTCAAGTCAGCGGCCGGTCCCCCCTCCGCTGGAATAAGAAATTAGTCCATTTTAAAGTAAATAACTAAAGCCTCTGGCCGATAAGAAGGAATTATAGAATGGTGTGCAGGCTCAATTTGACGGAGAGAGAGACCCCAAAACAGTTAAATCCAATAAATATGATTCCCCCCCCCCTCCTCCACCATCAAATTATTAAACACATTGGTGCTAAAGTTAGGCCAAGTTAATATCAACACAAGGGAAGATGGGATGCTATATACCATGAGCATCTTACACACATTATTGAAGAATTACATTTGCAAGGCCGTCCTATGGTGGTTGTGATAATAAAAGCCTGTTTTCAAAGAAATGCACACATAATGATGTCTCTTTTTTTTTCTGAATGAAATTTGAGGCCCC